TTTTTTTTTTTTTACTTTTATTTTTTAATTTTGTGGATAGTGCAATATGATTTTACGCTAAAACCACACCGTTTAACACTTCAAGGGAATGCTACCATTCCGTTACGAGATGCGTCGTTTTTTAAGGTTGTACGTAGATATACATATAATTTAGTAATGTGTATATAATCTATGGTTAAAAAATACAACGGAACCATCCCGTAAGGGGATGTAGCATTCTCTCACACTTCATACTATGAGTATGTTATTTAAATATTGCTCAATACATCATCTTCGTACGTGGATTGTTCTCACTTCTTTATTTGATTAGTTTTTAATTTTTTATTTTTTATTTTTTTTTTTACACAAAGAAGGAAGCGAAAGTCTTATACTACGATATTACGAGGGTGAGTGATCCCTAGAACATCATGTTCGAGCCACAGTTCCACCTCCATAGGAGGGTCGTCAAGTTTGTGGAGCCCGCCTGGCATGGTTGATTAGTTTGTACTTTAGCATAGCCAAACGCGGCACAAATGCCTTCCCATAACCTTCCACCAGTTGTTGACTTAAAATTTGTTTAATGTTATTCAAGTATATCCATTATTTGCCTAGCTATCGTTGTTATCTTGTGCGTCTCTATTTGGGGTGGGTTTGGGTTGTTACCTACAAGTTCACACAAGTTAATAATAATAATAACAATAAAAATGAAATTGATATGCAATATTAATGCAAATTTAGTTGTTATGTGATGAATGGACATAAATAGTGATGCTTATTGTTTTTTTTCTTTCAAAATTAAGTCAAAAAAATAATCAAATTCTTGGCAATAATATAAGGCTGATGTTAGACAGATTTAATGGTTAAACAATCATATTTTTTCAACAAATATGTATACTCTATTAGAATATTTACTTGTGAGTTGTCTCACGTTATTTATATAGAAAAAATAGACCTAATTTATAAATCTCATGTACTACTCATCCTGCCACAATTGATTTGGGAATGGAATCTTACTTGGGCTTCATCTGGACTTTTTCCTGTCTTGATGCGCTTCACGTGCGTGGAATCACACCCATTTTTTCTCCCGTTTCTTACATACTTTTAAACTGAAAACCCATTTTTTGTCCCGTTTGTTACATACTTTCGGAATCACACCCATTTTTTCTCATGTTTCTTACATACTTTTAAACTGAAAACCCATTTTTTCTTCCGTTTCTTACATACTTTTAAACTGAAATGTCGCAAAATAAATAAACAAAAATTTGGCATTTCATAATATAAATATATATTTTTTATTTTATTTTATTTTTTGAGAAAAAAAAAAGTATAACAAGTACTCCACCTTAGACCTAAAAACTTTGATTAGTTTAGAAGTATCTTTTGTAGGTGTGTAGGACATATATAATGCCAGGCTGCTTTGATGATTGTAGTAATTTTTTACATGCATGCATGGCACTTTTAATTTCCCTGGTTCTTAATTACTTGCTTTCTACTTGAATTATTTCTTTTTTTTTTTTTAATTTTTTTTTAGTACAGGAACTTTCCGTTTTTCGGATCCACAGGGGAACCGACTAATTTGGAATCGAGCCGGGTAGAACCACAAGGGCGGCAAAGCTCTCCCTCAAAAATTGTAACACTGCTGCATTCTCAGGGCTCGAACACGAGACTACTGGTTAAACTGGAAGAGACCCAAGCCATCTCATCCAAACACTCTTGGTTTTTTCTTAAATTATTGGTCCTTATAATAATTCCACTATAAATACCCCCATTTTATTCCCATTCTAAATCACCCTTCAATTCTAATATTGCAATACACAAACTTTTCACTACCCAATAATACCCCTCAAACCTTTAGCAAATACACAAACAAAAAACTATACAAATTCTATATCAATAATAAAGAATATGGCTATTTCTAAAGTCCTTATTATTGCATCACTTGTTCTGTGTTTGCTGGTTGTTAATGGAGTTCAAGCCATCCAAACAAATATTGAAGCGGTAATAATATTCACTATTAGTTTTATTACAATATTATTTTTCCACTATCATATCCCAATTATTATTAATTAGGTTTATAACTATATATTTATATATATATATATAAATTATTCTCATACTCGAGTTTTTTGTCGTTAGATCAACACAGGAATTTACGTGGGTGTGAGAGTATTTGATCGAATTCTATCAGCTTCCTATTTACTATCTAATTAAATTCGTTTCCAAACACATCTTTTAACATATATATTATTATACCATTTGTTTTGCAGACTAGCAAAGTCTCGTACAAGCCCGGACCCACAATAGGTAATTATATATAAATTACTCCCTCATGTTCTTTTTATATGTCATTTTAGTTTTATTGATATGTTCGTTTTAGCAATTTTACTTCAAATGTTCCAAAATTTTCCCTAAAATATAAGTTTGGGAGTTGTTGCAATTCCAATCCCTGAATGACGGAAATTGCAACAAAATGTCAAATCAGATAATCGAACGACAAAATATTAGAATCTTGAGACTAAAATTACTATGACGTTAACCAATAGAACTAAAAATACAATTTAGCTTCGACTTATCCTAAGTATGCTATTAATATCATATATTTGTTTTACTTGCATGTGTGTGTGTAGATTGTGGTGCTTCATGTAAAGTAAGGTGTAGCTTATCATCAAGGCCAAATTTGTGTAAGAGGGCTTGTGGGACCTGCTGCAGCCGGTGCAGCTGTGTGCCGCCGGGCACCTCCGGCAACTATGAGACTTGCCCGTGTTATGCTAAGTTGACTACACGTGGCAACAAGCGCAAGTGCCCTTGAATTTCATTTATTATTATTATTTTAAGTATTTCAAAATCTATACTTCGTGATGCTTGTTTGTTTGTGGTTTAATTTTCATTTGCTTTTTAGTTGGTGGTGTAATTAATTAATTGTGTTACTGTTTCCTTTGTGTACTTTCAAGTTGTTTATATTGTATGGGTGAAGGAATGAATAATGGTGTCATTTTGGATGATTTTAAACGTGTTAAGATATCGTAATCATTCACTTGTATGATGATATTCTACTCTTGTAATCATTCAATTACTAGTCATTAAGGGTGTAAACGAGTCCAGCCAAGCTTGCATCCTTAACGAACCGAGCTCAGGAAAATATATATATATATATATATATATCATATTTTCAAGCCTTATCAGCTCGACTTCGTTAATTGGTCGAGATTCAAATGAAATCTAGTTTGTCTCGTTTATCAAACAAGTCAAGTCAAACCAAGCTCATGAGCGGCTCGTTTAATTTAACTACTCTAGTTGCCATATCAATTAGTTAACAGATTTAATATATATGTGCCCACCGTACGTAGCAGAATTTTGAAGTATGGTCCTTAAAAAGTTAAAACTAGTTTCAAAACAACCCAAACACACATCATCATCAATCATTATAGAAAAATAGTCATATGAGCTTTTTTTTTTCATTTTTCTCCTTTAATTATTTAAAAATGTAAATTATAACCATATTAAAATGAAATAAACTTTTTTTTTTGACCCTCCTCACACAGTGAGGTTCCTTGTGAGTATCCCTTCAAAAGTGATCCCAGGCCCAAAAGCCAGTATTAATCCCCAGTCATCATCCCTTTTCTCTCTCCTCATCTCTTCTAACATATACTCCAAAACATACATAATTGTGTTGCTACTTGCATTCCCATAATCAGCCAAGGCCCTTCTGCTAGAACTCAGCTTTTGTGGCAGCAATTCCAGCTTCTTCTCAAGCCTGTTCAAAATAGCAGGCCCACCTGGATGAACGGCCCAAAACAGCTTGTTGTAGTCCTTTTCGGAAAACCCACCAAAGCCCATAAGCCCAAGACAGAAATCTTGGATATTGTCTTCGATTATCTGTGGCAACTCCCTGTCCAGCCTGAAACTTATGCCCTCTTCTGTTAGTTTACCATCAATGATCTTTTCAGTACCTGAGATTAAAAAAAAAAAAAATAGGATTAATTGCTGAAAGATCCTTGAAATTATATGTGATTCGCAAATTCGATCCTCTTGCACATTTTTATTAATCCACGAACAACTAACCATACCACATTTTTTTTTTAAAATTAACCATACCAAACCAAAAAAATCCAAACAAAATCGAAACCATCTTATATCCCCAAAAAGCCTTAAAAAGAAGACCAAAACTCAATATTGATGGCAGTTTCATATCAGTTGAGCTGTGATCTTGTGTACCATTTGAGCTACTATTTACATATCAGATATTGATAATTTTAACTAACCGAGCACTTCATAGTTGCCTAAAAATAACAATAAAAAAAACGTTACCGGGCAAGAAATGCTGTTTAGCAGTATGCAGTTCGAAAAGAGGAGTTTCAGTCTCGAAATCAGGATTCGACCCAATAATCAACGCCCCGGCCCCATCTCCAAACAAGGCCACGCCCACTAAATCATATGGTCTGTCAGCACTTGGTGGCCTGTATCCAATTACAGTAGTCTCTGAGGTTACAAGCAAAACTCTACTCCCCGGATTATTCTCAGCAATGTCTTTCGCGACCCGAAGACCCGCAACTCCGCCCGAGCAGCCTGAAAAGTAGAGCATAGTCCTCTGGGTGTCGGGCCGGAGTCCCAAGCCGTTTGCAAGGTAAAGATCGCCGCCGGGCAAACGGACTTCGCTGGAGGAGACGTAGACTAAGTGGGTTATGTCCGAGATGGGCCTGGCCCATTTCTTGATGCATGATTGTGATGCCTCGATTGCCATTTGTGTGACTGCTGTGTTGCAAATTTCTAGCCTTTGTTTCACTGTGGGGAGACCTTCGAGTGCTAGCTCTGGGTACTTTTTTAGGATTTCTTCGGACATGACTACATATCTGGTTTTTACGGTGGTTGTCTTGCCTGAAAAAAAAAAAAAAAAGATTAGATCTTAATCTATGCTACCTGGACTTGGATACGGGTGGCGTATCGGGTGTGGGATATGAGCGTCCGACTCGTCAATAGTTAAGAAATCTTGAACATTTTAGGCTAAAATGCCACACCCGACACTCATACCCACACCAGTGTCGACAGAACATGACACGGGTATTCTTCTTAAGTAGAAGAGTTCGGGTAACATAGATCTTAATACTAGATTTAAATTGGGAATATGAAGCAGAAACATGCAAGTGGATATATATATACACACACAAATGCACACACACATACATAGTCGAGTGAGCTTCTGTTTCAGGTCAGGGTCGTCACAGTTCGTGTTTTTGAAATAACCATCGACCAAAAAATCCTGCAGGACAAGCTGATGAGGAAAAGCCTTGCCAATGGAAAGAATTGTGGCCTTTTTGGGATCAGATTTCTTCAAGACTGACATGATCTTTTCGCTTTCCATTGGCGTGTATACTATATTGTTCTCAATCGAACTCTACTTTTTTTTTTCTCTGGCAAATTCGATCAAGAAGGCTTGATTCTTTATATACTAGCTTTCGGTACATTATTTAAGGCCAGCGAGCGGAAAACAGATGATGCAATTGATTATAATGTTTTATACCGTGTTAGTTAAAGGGTGAGAGTTGCATGACACTGTGCTATTAGGTGTTGGGTGGTGATTTGGTCCAGTATGGGAAATATGAGGTTTGCATTTTCTTAACAAGCCTTTGAAAAGGAAATGACACAACTAAAATCATCAATGCTTTCTATCTGTTAAAAACATCACAACAATGTGCTCACATTAAGAAGGATTGCATGTCGAACGAAGTCCTCCCGTTGAAAAAATTACGACATTCTCAGAAAGAAAAGGAGAAAACGATCATACATCTTGTAGACATATTCCATAACATGAAAAGTGACAATAATGAGCACAATCAACTAATCAAGTACAATTAGCTAAGAGTCAATGCAAGCTAACAAAAGGTAGCCCAAAAAACGAAAATGGAGAAACAAAAACGAGCATGATGAACACACAATTGCAGTATAGTCATCGAGTTTTCCACTATTAGCTAAGAGTGAGCATATTCCATATCATGAAAAGTGATATGGTAATCCAACGTCAGCCGCCGCCGCCGTTTCGCCGCGGTGAGGTGCCACCATTTGATCCATTTGCAATCCACTGAAGTGAGTTGTGAGTGGAACCCGGTTTATGATAATGGGCCACCAGCTCCATTGTACTACAGATTTGGGCTTTATTTGCATGGGCTGATTTCATCCAAAAATTTATAAAGTTTATGGGCCTAGGATTATTCTTTACCGTTTGCAAGATTAGTCGAAATTATTGGCTTCATAGTGACTAAATAGTAAATAAAACAGAAGCAAACAAATAATGAGTTTTTCCCCCCCAACAAAGCCAAAATTCATGTAGTAATTTTGTTACCAACCTTTAGAAAAGAAATTTGAGTTTTAGAATATCTATAATTAGTTTATTATTAGTGGATTGAAGTCCGAATTTACAAAAATTACTCTGATCTGTGATATTTAGGCTCGAGAAACTCTGCACTTATATAACCCAACACCTTTATCAACTGATAGAAACTAATAAAAGTAAGTTGAAAATGTAAATGGAGGACCCGAAAAGGTAGAAAATGAATACACGTTCGACATAGATTTTTGGTCCAAATTTGTCTAAAAATCACCAAAGAATCGCACTTTGCTCGTGTTTGTGATTGATCACATGTCAGCCAATGTCTTTCCATCGATAAAGTCAACGACCCGAGCTGCTGCTTGACCGAGTGCAACAGTAACTGTAGCCAAATTCAGCAAGAACTCCTCGGCCGTGGGCTTATCACCATCGATAATATCAGTCACAGCTTTCAAAAATATCGTGGGGACTTTGAGAAGGTCGGTCAAGTAAGCTATTGCTGCCCCCTGATAATTAACACATCAACTAAACGATTAAATTTTTCGCACTTAGACATGGAAGGCAAAAACTTTTTTTTTTTTTTTTTTTATTTGTGACGTTGCATATAACATTCTTTGGGCAAATTTCTCTCACACCCGACTTGACTTGAAGATTACATTAAGTTTTTCACCACGCTAGCTAGCAAATTTATTTTTTTTACCTTGCTAGCTAACAATTTAACTCATTCGAATGGTTCGTATAACTGTTGCACATCAGTCGCATAACTGTCAGTTGCATAATTGTCGCATATTCACATTAGAAAGTGCAAAGGGTTATGCGAATGTCTTCGCATTTTTAACTTTCGCACAATGTTAATCACACAATTGTCGCATAATTACCGTATAATGCTTTCGCACTTTTGGGATGAAAAAAGTTAATTTTTTATCCAATGTTGTCAAAAACTTGTTCATTTTTCAGAAAAGGGTGTAAATAACTATTTCCTCATACTCTTTTACCATTATTGGCGAAAAGGACTGTGACTAAACGTTTCAAGTTCTTGCAAACATAACCCAGAAAGTACAAGAGTACACGTACTAGATAAAAACATGAAAAAAATTGGTACTCAATATCCAGAAAAACCAAATAAAAAGGTACTACATTTCTATTTTGCTTCGGAATTTAAATTAAGCTCGGATAGTAGAAAGGTACCTCCATGTCCTTAACAGTTGCATCATTTGCAATTATCCCAGCTGCGTCCTGAGGTGACATGTCCAAAGAATTTCCAGTGGACAATTTGGCAACCTAAAAATATATTACAGATAATTCTTGATAATTGGCATGTTATTCCGAAACTACTACTTAATCCCATAAAAATTTAATATTTTCTGTGTACACCAATATACAGACATATATTAGTTTAACTATTTTAAGTTTGCAAGATTCAAAATTTTAGTATTTCAAGAGCTAATTTATTAGAAGGGTGAATAACTGAGAATTAAGTATTTCAAGAAATCCATGCGCAATCACTGACCTTTAAGTTCAACTCTTTTGCAAGATTTGGTGTGGAGAATGCTTGACGTAAGCCAATACAATATATGTCTCGTAACTGTTGATCAAATGAACATATAAATATCTAATGTGATCTCCGATTTTTGTTTTCCCTAAGGGCTTGATTGTTTATGAAATAATTTGTTTTATTTTGGTTAACTATAATTAATTTTTAAAAATGTGGCATGCTTAGTTGTTAGTGGAATTTTGAGAATATATTAAAATAATATTTAAATTAAAATGATTAAAATTGATTTGATGTAAAAGTAGGAGATAAATGATTGAAAATGATAAGTAGTTAACATTATGTGAGTGGATGAATAGTGAATTAAAGTTGATGTGATGTGTAAAAATAATTGGTTTGTATTATTTAATTATATGAAAAATATTAAAAATAATGGGATTGAGTTAGATTTTGAGAGGTGAGTAAAATAATTCATAAACAATCCAGCCCTAAAAGAATCAAATCAAGACCTGCCCCTCGAACAAGATCATATTTATAAGGGACAGACTAATGTTTGTATATATTTTAGGCAAAAATGCTTTTTTAGTCCTCTTCGTTTAAACCCATAGCAATTTTAGTCTTAAGGTTCCAACTTTTAGCCTTTTAGTCCTCTAATTTAATTTTTGCTACAATTTTAGTCTTAAGGATCCAACTTTTAGCCTTTTAGTCCTCTGATTTAATATTTCGCTGCAATTTCAATGCAGACTAAAATTGCAACAAAATTTAAATTACAAGGTTAAAAATTTGGGAATTTGTTGCAGTTTCAATTTTTAAACTGAAATTGCGGCAAATATTAAATCAAAGACAAAATGTTAGAGTCTTCGAATTAAAATTGCTATTGCTTAAACCAACAAGACTAAAAATACAATTTAGCCTATATTTTAAAATGGCAATAGTAACCAAGTACAATCAAAATCTTTAGATGATATTTTTATTTTCATTTTTTGTAGCACATTTACAACATAAAGCTATAGGTGAAAATGTGGAGAGGACTTACGGGAAGAGGATTTCGTCTATCATGGAAAGCAACGTGTGAAGCCAAAAACACATCACCTATGGAAGCACCTTTTTCCTGGTAAATTCTAAACATCAACACTAAAACTTATTACAATGAAACCTAAACGAAAAACCTCATAAAAATACAGGGAAATGAATCTCCTCATTATCCAACACATGGTGGAAGAAAAATAATGTTCGTGGCACGAATATACAACACATGTTAAAACATAAGCATTTTTACTCGCTTAAGCATGAATGCAATGTACAGTGAGAACTAAATACCACATATCGCGTAAGAAAAAACAAGTGGAAACCACTATTTGCAACAACATAATACCTTAAATCCTCCTGCAGTTCCTGCATTTATAATAAGATCGGGATGCAGGGCTTGAATAGAAGCATAAGTCACGAGAGATGCTGAAACCGTTCCAATATTATCAATCCCTGATGTAGAAAATGCTAACCAATTTAGAAGCAGAAAAAATTGTGTCTAAAAGGCCTATTATATCTATTATAAGCAAACATAATCCTATAGAATGAGCAATGTAGGAAAGCAAACATAAGATAACTAATCGGGCTAACGTCATCCTAAACATAGATTTATGACATAACATGATAAGCATTAACAATGAGAGTAAATCCTATAGAATTAGCCAAGAACTAACGCAGGCAAACAAAATGGTGGCCAAAAACAAAAAGGTACGCACCCAAATTTGTGTCTTTTCCGGGACAAACAACGTTGATATTCAAATTTTTGTATTTACCACAGTACCTTACCCATGGAACGCCCTGAGGAAACCTGAATAGTATGTAAAAAACCAGTTAAATTTTGTGAATCTGACTGAAAATTAAAGAAAAACAAATGGGGCGCCGGGGAAAATAAAATGGCGTACACAGAATCAACGTCCTCAGTGAGCCGGAGCTTATTCACCAGAGGTGATGCCTCCGTTTGCATAGCTACACTCCAATTTTATAAGAAACAATTCGTTAAATAAAAAGTTTTTTCAAAACTGAAAAACAAAAAAACAAAATCGGGAAAAAAGTGAAGGAAGTAATTTACCGATAACAAAGAGTATACTCGAGATGGGGCGTTCGGGGATCGACCCGTCGTTCGCCTCCGGCGCCGATTTGCCGCCGTGCGGTGGTGCCATTTGATCGGACTGCACCAGTCCACACAGCTCACGGCGAATGTCAATGAAGCCCTTCTTCTTTTTTTTTTTTCTTTTCTAATTACAAATTTACAACAGCAGATACAAAGTGCCCAAACGCTTTGAATCCAATCACATCATGACACGTGTGTCGAGATATATGCAGTAACGGGCTGCATGGGCTCGGTTCACTAAGCGGTACAGCGAATCACCAAATCTTATATATAAAAAAAGGTTAAATATTATTATAATTTTTTCATCAAATTTATTAATATATACTAACGATATATATTATTAGATTTAATTTGTAATCTGAATTTTTTAAAAATATATTTATACTTCCTCGTGATTTTTTACTTACAACAATTTTGAACTAAATTCAAACTTTTTTCATTTTATAAAACATTGTTTGCTCTCTAGAGGACAAGTTTGAGAGAATGAAACACCCATACTAAACAACTCATGCAAGATGTGGAATAATATTAAAGTGTTAAGTTAATTTGATGAATTAAAATTTTCAGATTTATAGTTAATAATTAGTGACTGAAAATTGATAATTTTGTCGAT